GGAGGTTTTAAAGCTGCTACCCTCCAAGGTCAACAATGAAAGATCATTGAAACAGAAGGGAAATGAGAAATAAAGTTTTTCCTGTCCATAACCCACATTTTTACTCTAAAAGATAAGGACATTTTTAACCACAGAGCGCAGAACAAATTCAGGGAATCTTGCTTTGAAAAACATTTAAATTGTAGGGAAGAAAATTACTGAGGAATTTGAGAAACTGAAGTTATTTGATGTTTCAGAAGAGGACAGCCTTAAACAGTGTAGACATTGGGCAAGGATACATGATGTGCTGCATCCGTAGAAACAGGGACTGTTTATAGAAACTGAAAAGCCATTAATCAGGGACCTCTCTCTGAAACTAGAGCAAAGGGTGTCGTAGAAACTATAGATCTCTGAGCTAAATCTCTGTGCTCAGAAAAAATGGACCGAGAGTCTAATTAAGGATAAAACACTACATGACCAGAATAAGACTAACTCTGTAAGGTCAAATGAGCACAGTCTAAAAGTGAAATCATGTCCCTCAAACCTGCTAGAGCTCTTCTGAGATGGTTGTTTGCGTTTTAAAGGAGTTGATAGCAGTAACCCAATGGATACTATTTATTTATTTACTTATTATTCTCATTTTCTTAAGGCATTTGAAAAGTCTCTCCAAAATAGACCATCAAGTAACGTAACAACAAGGAAATGTACAATGTAACACTGTGCGTAGAGAAGGAGAGAAGGAAAGAAAGATATAATGAATGAGCCACACCGAACTAAAGTTTCTACCCATATGTAAGATTTCTAGTCTCATCTGTGATAGACAATGAATACAAATGAACAAGGATGGGGTTACGGCAAAGAGCAATACTGCCACGTTTTCAAAGAATCATGAATCAAGCCACACAAAGTCTGAGATTTTTAAAAACTACGGACTGTGTTTATTTAACTTCTGGTACTGGCTCCTTTAAACTTCATCCTTCCAGGCTCTTCTCCACCTTTAGCAAAGCTAGAAACACATTTTTAAGACAAGCAAAATACTGGAAGGATGAGGTCAGCAGCCAGATCAGACGAATCCAAGGGCTGAAGCTTTCAGAACTGCAAGCCACAGGAACAGATCTACCTGGAAAACCCAGGGCACTCAATGCCATGACTCCTCGGTGGGTGCCACGCACCAAGTTTCAATGCAATTACGTGCATGCAGCTCCCTGGGCCAGAAGACAGCTGCAGCCACCCTTGAGACCTCCCTGACCTGTGGGCTTTCCCGCCCCACAATCAGAGATGGCAATACTAGGATATAGAAACATGTATCACAAAACTGGACAGGACCAGAAGCGGGTAGGGAGGAGTGCGAGAGGTACAGCCCTGCAAGAGCAATTAGTTGGGAAAAGAGATGAGAGTGGGAAAGGGAAATCTGAAAATAGCTACTGTGATAGACAGTGAAAGTGAAGTACCCTGTGACAGTAGCACAAGTTGCCCACCAAAGACCAGCCCCTGCAAGGGAGTACCCATGCTCTCAGCCCTGTTTGGCCCTTGCTCTCTCGGCTGAAGTTGCAGCGAGGTTGCTCCTGGGCACAGGCAGAGTGTAGCGAGAGGCAAACATAACGCTCATTTTTCCTCCCAGCTCTCCAGCAACGCATGGAAGAGAGGAAGAACGAATGGCAATGGCCAGATTCACTTCAGTACAAGCAAGTCAGAGCATATAGCTACACTAGGAAGGAAAGAGATGTTTTTAAGACTCTAGATCACCATGCTGGAGTGCAGGCATTTTCACATTAGTTTGAAGGGAATTGCACCTTGGCTCCTGCAGGATCAAAGCTGTACCTCGAACACAGCAGTTGCCCTTTTAGCACAGCTGGTTCGCCTTGTAGTTTCGACATTAGAAACGCGCATCTAAGAGAACCTGTTTCACCTAGATGAAAAATTGATGGAGGAATTCAAATGTGTTTACTGCACATAAAGGTCTGCTGCTTCTTCACAAGAAGAAAACAACAACATGCATTTCATTGCTCAGTACTCCCAGTATATCCATCTGGTGATGTCTGCGCCAGAGCAGTCCTCGCTCTCTGCCTGCACACAACTTCTTCTCCTGTCTTTCCACTTTAATACATACAGAAACCGATATCGACCCAGCCTTTGCTGCTTTGACCTGTCATGTGCCTTGGGCAGTTCTTCCATTGTCTGCAGCTGTCTCTACTAAATAAAAGATATTTAACTGTGCTTTCCATGGAGTCTGTGCTTGCCTCTGCCACTGACTTTAATCTGGTATGGGGAAGGAGTTCCTGAAGAAGGGCACCGATACTGTAAAAACTGCTGCCAGACAGTCCTCAGCGTATTACCTAAGAAAAATATATAGTGGCTTGTTACTTTTCTTGTGATAGTCCAGAGAACGATTTTGCTGTTATGTTCATTTAAACTGTCCATGATATTTCTGCTTAATTATTGGGTGTGCTTAATTATTGGGACAGTTATCCATTACCGGATGCAACCGTATCATCCCAATTGCCAAATTGAGTGCAATATATTTCCTCCCTGATATCTGTGCTGATCCAGTCCTTCTACAGCTTTGGTTGCTCTAATACCACTGTGCAGTTTTCATACTTCCACTGCGCACATCTTGTATTTGGAAGAACTGGCATTTATTTTTGTCCCTGAAAAGGTCATTGTACAATTTCTGAATCACAGGAATAAAGAGAAATTAAAGCATTTTTCCCATAGCACAGATGGTAGGGTCCCAAAAGTGATTAAAGTATATTATCTATTAAAAAAAATGGCATTTCATAAAATGTGATGCCTGTCAACTATTCATAAAGTTTAAATTTTTGCAGTTATCTTTATTTGAAAGAGAAGTATTTGTTAACTACCTATAAAAGATGACATTTCATAAATACTTGCAGGGAGAACTCTAAAACTACTTTTATTCCTGGAGGATTTGAGAAGTTTTATTTTCTGAGTTGCTTTTTCTTTCTTTCTTTCTTTTTTTTTTTTTTTAAACTATCAGAAAGCAAAAATAAAACGCCAGGTATTAATGGTTTGAGACATAAATATGCTGGAATCAAAGTACATTTATGTCACATCTCAAACTAAAGCTTTCAGACAGTTATCGACATCCATTCAAACAAAATACCAGAAGTGATTGTGTGGCACCTAGTCTTAAAACATACTTGTCAGACGATAAGCAGCAGAAAACAAACATAGTATAAAATGGTGATGAGATTAAAGCAAAAACTAGCAACAACATTTCAATGAAAAAAAAAATCAGCAGAAGAAGGAAGAACTAGTCATTTTGATGATGTACAATTATGGGAGTTATTCCATAGTAACTGTTGCATTTCTAACGAATTCAACATGATTATTCTCATGTCATGATCCAAAAAAGTGAACGTTAATTATTCACTGATTGTAAGTGAAACAAACGCTCACCAGTTTTTCTGGGACAAACCTTTTGGGCAGATCTCACTTTCAGCGACACTAGAAAAAAGCTTTGCATCTGCTTCAAAAGTGAGGGACTTTGCTCTTCCTGCTAGCGGTCGTCTTCTGAGGTAGGCACTCTTTTTCAGGTGCTGCAATGATGTACTTTACTCTGTATCCCATATCTGTGTTTTTACACTGCTCTTCACCTCCATCTGAAGCATTGCCTTTTTATCTGCTGGCTATATCTCTGATCTAGGGCTCTTCTAGAGCTACTGAAACATTCACTACATGGGATTTTTAAATTGATCTATTTAAACTTGTGGAAATCTCTTTATAGACATATTTCTCTCAAGGCTGGTTTACTTCAGTATAGGTTAAGCTAATGCCAAATATTGGCTTAAATAAAATTACAACTTTAGAGCAAGTAATACAAGCAAATTGCCTTCCCACATTATCTCTAAGGAGACTGTCTTTGAGCCACATATTCCTGCTTAGAGTGACAAGAATACATATCTGGTATTATCATAGCTATAGCCTGTACCTCAGATAACCCACAAGCCATTATAGATACTGTTCTCGAAAGTAAGTCCTCAGATAATCCACATAAAATCAAAGGCAAAGAAAACTAATAGGTTAAAAGGAGGTTTGAGGTAAATTTATCTTTGTATTGTCCTCACACATCTTGCATTTCTTCTGAGTAGAACGTTGGGGGTTTGGCTTTTTTTTTTGTTGGTTGGTTGGAGTTTTTCCACCTTTTTTGGCGGGGGGAGTCTTTGCTTATTCAGGTTTTTTTTTTTTTTTTTTACATATATCAGCTGTACACTATATGCACAAAAACACAGTTTTATTTCAGAGCGCAGACCACTGCTTCTAGTAGACCCTTAGCAGATATAAGCCACCATGTGAGCATTAGTTAGCCACAAACTAACAAAATGGGGCACATGCTCACTGCAGTCTGGTTCAGGAGGAGTCAAAAGCATATCCACAAGTCAAGAGTGAGGGGAAACTCATCTTTCATAGAAGAATTTAGGTTGGAAGAAACCTCTGGAGGTCACCTGGTCCAACTTCCCAACCAAAACAGGGTCAACTGAGATCAGGTTGCTCTGGGGTGTGTCCAGTCAAGTTTTGAATATCTTAAAGGAGGGAGACTCCATGTCTCTGGACAACTTGTTCCAGTATTTTAATATCTTCATGGTATTTTTTTGTGATATCTAACTGGAATTTTCCCTTGCTGTAATGTATGGTTGTTGCATCCAGTCCTATCTTTGTACACCTCTGAGAATAGTTTCACTCTGTCTTTTCTATAAACTGCCATGAGACCGCTGAAGATAGCAATAAGATTCTCCCCTGAGAAGCAAGGGAAACAGCAATAAGATTCTCCTCTGTGTATTTTCTGCTGTGTGGAAGCAGCAGCTAACAAAATGGCAGTACCCATTTTAAGAAGAAATTGGGCAGGAACAAAAAAGAAGGTAAATAAAAGAGAAAAGAGCAGGAAGGAGGGATGGCAGGAGAGGGTAGGGCAGGGCAGGGCAGACAAAGCTAGTACTCAATGGCAAATAGGGAAATCATACACAGTATGTGACCTTCTAGGTAGTACATAAACCACTCACAGTTTCACAGGAGATGTTGAGGTTTTGAGGGTCTTCTAGTGGTGAACATGTGACAGCTCTTACTGGAGGATTTCAGTGTCCTACTCACGGATGAGAGACCTTCTGTCCCCAACACATAGGAAAGCACATTTGAAGTATGGTTATCTTTTCAGTTTCTCCTGAAATGAATAAAATTTGGGCATCTCAAAATCACTTACAGATCCAACTGAACATATGGCAAATGGAGACAATCAGAGATACTGCTTCAAAATTATGTTGTTGCTCCAAGTTAGATTGCTAGGGCAGATCCATCCTGAACAGGAACTAAGCAACTATGAAAATATATAAGCTGTGGGTTTAACAAAATTTGAAACATGTCCACTAAATGCAAATGGCAAGCAGATATCAATGACCCTATTGTATTCCATTCAGCTTTTTTGAGGCCATTAAGACTGCAAGTGTGAAGAAGAAATAAATCTTCTGAAAAAGATGCTCAGTGATTCAACACAGCTAGATACTAAGCTCCTGAGTCTCAATCTCACACACAGACTACTGGACCATGCATATTCTTCACAGTCTATTATTTTTATTCCTAAATATAGTTTGCTGAGGAACAAGACAAATCCCAACTATGTAGATGATAACATGGAATTAGTGGGAAGAAAGAAAATTCTAGTTGTCACTACTAGCACCATCCTTTCTTTTATGCTAGTAGCCAACAGTTGAAAAATAATGGATTAGATCTCTCTTCATTATTGTTTCCCTGAGGAAAGTGCATGTTGTGATAAAGTCCACTTTTCCGAAGTGAAATACCTTTCACCCAAACATGCATGAACTGCAACTCTGAGAAGTGAGACCTGTACTATGTCAAACTCTTGTAGCCCACAACTGCAAAACAGATAGGTATTGCTTTTAAATGTTTTCTTCTGTAAATACTGTTTAAATTGTTAAATGATATTTGCTTATAAATGGATGATATTCTGCATGAATAGCCTTCTGTATCAGTATAAAAACTCTTCTTAAAGCATTTCAAAAGCATGCACTCTTTCATTTGTGGGTTTAGATTTTCTTCAAAGAGAACCGTCTTATTACCTTAAGTCAGAACATTCTACAAGCATCTCACAAAAGTATTTGATAAAGATCTAAAGACAGGGTAAAGCCTTTGATATATAATAAAATAATTTTGAGCCATCCTCTTACACACATGAACAAGACAATGTATCTTTTTAAAGAAGCATCATCTACTTGGCATATAGCATCAATATAGAGGCTTTTTCCCATTTGCTATGGAGCTAAAATAATTGCAGTGAACTACAATTGACAAAAATCAATCACCGATTACTGCTTCAGCTTCTCTTGTTGAAAAGGAGGGTACAAATGTAGTATTTGATCAAGAAATGTTAATATCATCTAAACCAAAAATGCTGTAGCTAACAATAGCAACATGATATTAACATGCCACTTGTGATTTCAGAAGGACTAATAAAAAATACAGCTTACATGAAGCTTTGTGTCAAATGGACTTTTTTATATTTGTCTTCAAGTATAAAAAACTAGCCGATGGCTGGCAGAAGACCTGGTGTAGAAATATTACGAACTGAGCAGCTGATGAGAGAGGAAGTATTTTTTGCTCACTTAAATATGGCCTAGGAGGTCAGGTAAAGAAAGTGAAAGACTAGAAGAACTGTATATTTCATAACATACCATGGATTCACTCTCTAACAGCCCATGCAGAGAGAGCAGAATGAAGCATGATATCTTGGCACCTGTATTCTTCCAGTGCTATAAAGGGTACCTGTACCTCAAGTATTGCTTTAGTATAGAAATATAAAAGACAAACACTTGGCATAAACATTTTTTACTTACAGGTTCCTTGCTTATATATTGGTTTTCATAAGCCTCTACTCGCTTGCTCTCTTTCTCAATGTAATCTCCTATGATCAGCCCAGCTACTGATCTATACTGTTTCTAGTGACACTTTCTTCAATAAAATACACTATTTTCAAATCAATTTAGTTATTTGAAATTTAAGATTGTTTTCACTGTTAGGAAACTGCTTGGTGGTTACAAATCAATATCCAGTACAGAGCACTGCATCAAATTTCAAAGGTTTTTTTTTTCTGAGTGGTCGGTCATCTTTGCAAACTACCCTCTGCAGCACAGGGTTTGCTCCAGACTATACTTCCAGTGAATATCTGAGTACATCAAATTCAAGTACATGCTATTGCAAACACTGATGCCAATAAAACAAGAATGATGAAATGCTCACAGAG